CAGTAACAATTTAATATATTAATTCAAAATGAACTTAAAAATAATACTTTTTATCATATATTAAATAAATATAGGATTTAAAGTAAATTAAAAATAATTTATTTAAAATGATCTATTATTAATAATATAAATAAAATCATTTTTATAAATAACTTTATTTTATAAGTTTTTTAAATATTCAATATTATTTTAGTAAATTATCAAATTTTAATTTAGCAAAATATAAAAGAATATTTAACTATTAATCTAATTAATAGAAAATACTATTTATAAAATAAATTAAATGTTTTTAGATGAATTTTATGATTTAAAATTTCTAAATTTATTTAATATTAATAATTTAAAGGTTAATTTGATTATTTAAACTATTATAATATATTTTGAATTTATAAATCTTTAAGTTAAAATGGTATAACTTTCATTTTTTAAATTTAAATTTATATATTAATTTAATATATAGTGAAATTTTAATTAGTTAATTCAAAATTTAAAGTTTATTTTTGATTTGATATATATTAACTATTAATTTAATTAAAATTATAGGTTATTACTTGATTTGAAGCTTTATTAAAAAGTTATTTAAATATATAAAATATTAGTTGAATTTGAAAGATTTTAACATATTGTATACACAAATTTTTAAACTTTTTTTACTAAAATTTCATTTTTTAGACAAAAAAATTTAATGGAAATAATAATTTAAACTATAGGAGGTTATATTATACTTGTTTAACTACTCGACTCGATAAGTTTTAATTTAGTTGATTGAGTCGATTGTTGCGGTACGTGTTTCTTTAGTTTCATTTTTTTATTTAACTTTTTCCTTTTTCCTTTAATCTGGGTTCTTTCGCATTGGGTCAGCGATAGAACGATATTTATTATAATTATTAATTATTAGGATCCTCCTTTAGGCTTGGATCGCTTCAAAATATGCGGTGTGCGCTTTTTCATTTTTTTAATTTGTAAATTTATTTATTTTTTTAAAATTTTTGGCAGCGATCAAAATCTTTTAATTTTCCGCGCTTTTGTTTATCATTTTCTTCTCTTAAGGTTCCTATTTCGAGTTAGCATCATTTGCTTTTTTTTGCTCATTGCATCACTTAAATTTTTTTAATAATAGCTTCACTTATTGCACCACTAAAAACTAGAATCAATTCCAATCAAACACAAACACATGATGATTCAAATTATTTGTTTTCTAAAAAAAAAAAAAAAAAAAAAAAGTAATAGTGAATAGAATGAGACATACAGGTGGTGTTGCGAGAGAGATACAACAGGAAACAAAAACCATTTGGAAAAGATATTAAAAAAATTCCATTAAATCAAAATGTTATTAAAAAGTTAAAGAATTGATTACTAGGTCTATACTTTTTTTTTAAGGAAAAAAAATTATAACAAAAAATTCTATATTTTATCAGGATTCGTTCCTTTGTAATGTGAAAAACATGTTGAATGAGTTGGTTCAACGAGATTCTATTGTTGTGGATAGTTTATTAGGTTGTCCCATCTTCGTTAGTAATTTTTTTTTAAAAAAGGTTTCATTTTCACACTGAAAATTTTGATTTTCATGAGTTTGGGAATCTTTTTCTTGATAATTGTTCGTTTATTGACAGAATTATTTTTTAATATTAAAAGAAGTCACTTTTGGTTAATCGTTTTTCGGGAGTTAATGGTGTTTTTCGGCACTTTGAGAAGTCAACTCTGGAAAAATAGAAAATATGTTGTAAAGGCGATACCAAAAGGAAACGTTTTCTCCTTGTTTTAACCAACGACGCAAGGTGTCTGACGAGATGCCAAGTTTCTTAGTTGCTTAATGTGCAGATAAATACATAAGAAAAATTTAGATAGGAGTGGGTTACAATACGATTTTATTGATTTGTATTACTAAGCAAAAAGTTTATCGGTTAGAGGTGGAACCTTTTTATATCCGCAAATCATACTGCGCCTCAGATGATCTCACACTGCGCCAAATATCATGTTACATATATTATATTATATGTATCGTTTATAATTATCTAAAAGCGTAGTATAGTACTAATTAACAGTTTATATAAATAGACCTGTAAATTGACTTTGAGTCGACAAAGTTCGATCAGATAGTTTTCTGAATAAATCTTGGGACTAGACTTATAACTCTACAGATTAATAAAGTTACTATTTTACACTTTCAAACTTCTTTTTGTCTTCATCATAGGATTGATTGATCGTGTTAACCTACTACACAATTGAATCGTGATAATAAATAGTTTTGATTGTTAATTGTAAATTTCTCTTAGGGAGATAATTGTAACTTTAAGTTATTTAGTTTGTTGAGACGATTCCAGGTCTAAAACCGGATTTATTTAATTTCAAATTTCGGAATTTTTTTTATTTAAGCACATGGTTTCGTAAAAGCAAAATCAATTCAGTCAGTATTCAAAAAATTAATGTTTGAAGAAAAATAAAAATTTAAACTTCAATCCAATATGGTTCGATTACAATTCACAAAAAAAATCAAAATATTTTAAACTAATATATATTGAATAATTTCTTACCTAGACTTTACAATTTATTTATTCCATGATGTTTTAATAAATAACAATCATTTATAATTTTTTTTATCTAACCTGATATTTTCGAATTCTGAGAAGAACTCTGTTGACAACCAAGTCGAGTATTTATACAAAATTCTAATCTAACTTTACTAATTAGATAAGATAAGAAATAATTTTTGTTAAACATAATATAAACGCTAAAACAAATTTGATATATTTAAAGAATAATTTTTTCCGCAATATAATGGTTACATGACATCGGTTCGGTTGATACAAAATCCAATTGCTAACTGTTAATAAATTAGGGTTTTGACTAATCTATTTGCAACCCACTCCAGCTCGTGCGTACAACGGTTAGATTTTCGAGGGTCGACTTTTCTGCTAGATCTTGAAAGTTGTAGTTGTGATATTATTTACCTTTGTAAAGATTGAACATGCATATTATTCAACATGACATTAATTAAATAGCCTCTTGCATAAGTTTGTCATATTTGTATTTCTAAAAGAGAGGAAGCGAATAAGATATTTGGAGAGAAAGTGTGATATATAAGTACTTTGCTACTTGTTTTGACGTCTAGAATGCATTATTGTAAGAGAAAAAATATTACACTATTCAATAACTCTCCATTGGGTTCCAAGATTTTACATATACAGGAACTTTCTTTCTTAGGGAGAATGGATTAATTTTTTTTTTTTGGTCGATGCAAGCTGCGCCACGATATAGGCTTTCTTTTTTAACGTATCCTATTGACTTCCATTAATGAATGAAAATTTTAAGAGTCAAAAGGGCTTATTATTTGAAATGTTCGGGAATTTGTCAAAAACAAAAAAAAAAATACCATACACGTATATATGTGAAAAATCATGTGATCCATTAAATGTCATTCTTCAGATATAAAGCTCCAAATTTTCTTTTTTATAGGTGCTCACTTTTGCAACAATGCAAAACTTTACTTCAAAATTTCTAAACGATGATCGTTATTATTCATATGTTTAGATATTCCAAATTTTTACATCAATAAGCAATTCTTGTCACAAAATATAAATTAAAATTTTTATTCTTCATAAGAACTTTTTCAAAAATCTTACTATTGAAAAATGTGACTTATTCAATGTTAGATTGAAGTATAACAGAAAAAACTTTTACAGATACTCGTGATAAAGACTGAAGATAATTTTTTTTTTTCAATTCGGTGATATGTTTTAATACATGAAGCGTTCTTGACCAATGATATAACATCCTCTCAATCAATATTTCAGAGATTTTACGGCCTCTTGCGATGCTACTTAATTTGAGTTGTGATACACACTAATGATAAAGATCGGGAAAGTGTTGTGAAATATATCCGTAAGTTTTGGTATTCTAACTTAATCACAAACTCAATTTATCAGTATTGGCATCTGCGTTTGACAATAAATCCGATGTAAAGTACGATACAGAATTAATTTTCGTAATCCTCAAAGATTTTACCATGAGAGTTAAAAGTGTTTTGGAGCATCCAAAGTAATATATTGTTAATGTGAAGTAAGGCATAAAGTATTTTTGTGAGATTTGGAAATTTTGCCTCAATATGATAAAAGGACCTACCCTGTTTGTGAAGATTCGTGCATTCGTAATCTTTAAGTGAAGACATGAATCCGTCAGGGATTTAATTCCTTCATCATTAATTGCGTAACATTGATAAATTAATATTCTCAAGGTTTGGAATATTTGGAAAAAAGCATCACAAAGCCAACCATCCAAAATTATTTAACCGGTTAATGGTTAAAACGGGGTTAGACATCTTAATTGGCCAGTAATTGAATTTCGACCGGAGTTAAGTTACATCTATTTTAACCGGTTAAAAACAATATTAATGTTAACCGGTTAATTAACCGGTTAAAAATTAACCGGTTCCAATCTTAACTAAAATCTTAATGAATTAAAACCAATATTGCCATCTTCAACTCAACCCTTGCTGAAGGCAGATTTTGTGGAATTGTTCATGTTTCTTAAATGTTATTGTATACCAGTTATGTAAAATGTTGTGGATGTATTGCCATGATTATGTTGTGCACATGATATTAATTAAGTGAAATATGTTGACGAAGGAGGAAATGCGTTTCATTTGTATCGGTTACAATTGACACAGTTAGCACTATTTGTTACTGTTATACAAGGAACAAAAGTAGAATTTTTGTCTTCCATCATGTTGAAATTAGAAAAAAAAATTTCCGAGAAAATTTGGTAATCAAAATGATGGTCAAATATTTTTAAGTCAGCTGATCCTTGTAATAATGACACAAGGATGCACAGTGGCATACCATAATAAGAAAATTTACAATCATATGAAAATTCATTCCCAAATTTCTTAGACCTCTGCATTATTATTGTCAATGTTTAAAAATAAGGACATTTCAATTAACATGTTATCCAATTTACGAAAATTACTTATTTCAAAGAAAAAAAAATCTTCATTTAAGAAAATGTCTGATATCCCTGTTAAATTTTCTGAAGAAATTGATGTCATTTCAATTCTTGATAGTTCATCCTCGCAAGTTACCCTTCGTAATTATGATCTTTCAGGTCTTATTATCGTCTCTATAACTACCCCGGGACTCGAAACTCTTTGTACGTTTCGTATCATACACATATATATAATTGTTCAAGGATTTTATTTTATACGATGAAAATTGAGGTATTTTTGACTAATTTTTATTTAGACAAACCACTGGAATATATGGAAGACTTTGTAAATGTTTCATCTTCCGTTTCGAAAAATGTCAAATATGATATCTTTGCGGTTTATGATGGTCATGGAGGAATTGATCCTAAATCTAGATTAAAGAAAGGAGGTAAATTATATAACAGGTCTTTATTCATATCTGTTTCAATAATTTCATCCAATTGTTTGTTTAAAAGGACATGAGGTTGCAAAGGAATGCGTTAATTATTTGCCGGCAATGATTAAAGAAACTTTGAAATCTAATAACGATATTGAAACCGCTTTGGTTGAAAGTTTTGAAAAAGCCGATAAAGGTACGATTTTTAGTTGATAATTAATTAACTTAGTATGTAAAATGTTAACAGAATAATTTTTTTTTTTTGGTTTTTCTTTTCCTAGAACATTTTATAAAAAATTTTCCCGAAAATGTTGGATCCACAGCGACGATTGTTTTACGACATAATAATACAACTCTTTACGTTGTATGTTCTGAATTATCAAAGTACTAATTTTCTTCTTGCTGAGGGTATTATGATAAGATTATGAGTTTTATTAATTTATTATTCAGGCTAACCTTGGTGATTCTCGTGCTGTGATTTGTGATGATGGAAAAGTATCTTTCGAAACGGAAGATTGTAATTGGTCGAATCCTAAAGGTAATTTACTTATGTTATATGAAAATTATTTCTTTTAAGATCGGAAACTTTAAAATACTTAAATCACAGAACAGGAACGTATAGGGATAAGTACAAAGAATAGTAATTACATCATCAAAACTAAGGATGGGGAGAAAAAATTTATATTTAATGGAAAGCATTTAAATGGTTAGAGTTAAAGATTATTATGATCTTTAAGAATTGATCTCTGACGTATTAACACATTAAAAAAAAAATAATATATTTTTATAAGGTGAGAAGTGGAACTTGTCCGCTTCACGTAGTTTAGGAGATTATCATTTTAAATTAGATTCGGAAAAACCTCCTGTCCTTGGTAAATCTTTATAAATCTTCATTGATTAAATTGAACATATCAAATCAAATCATTCATTCATTTTACTTTTCACATTTCATGATCTAGCAAGACCTAAAATAAACAAAATATCTATTAGTAATAATATGAAGTTGATTCTTATCGCTTCAGATGGTCGGTAGATTTTAAAAGATGTTATTTAAACGTATGCCAATTTTATTTTTTTAAAAAAATTTTTTAACCCGTTTTTCTCTTTATAGGAATTTGGGGAAATGATATAGGAATGGAATCTGAGCATTTTATTTCAAAGTTCATTCAAATCGCCAGAAAACAAACTTCGACTGATGTAGATGATTGTTTAAAAGAAACTTGTAAAGAATTTGTTAAATGGTGTATAATGGATCATTTAAAGTTGGAGTTTAAAAATCATGGGGATAATGCATCTTTAATTGCTATTGGATTACTTAATGGTCAAACCAAGCAGCAATGGTTTCAAGACATTCAAAAGTGGAAAGGAACATATGATAATGATGATTTAATTTTGAAAGATTTGGTTCAAAATGATGATGACGGTGATGGTGATCAGGAAGATTCTAATTATGTATCAGATAGTGAAAGTTGTACAATTGATTTTACTCAAATATAATAGTTATTAACCATAATTTTACTGAATTATAGATAATTTTCATTTAATATTCATTTATTAGTTTACAAAAATAGTAAGAAGATAAAATTTATAAGGAAGAAACATCATTATTAATAAATTCTCTTTATAAACATTATTTTTATTCCAAATTATTTAATCAAACTTATACTTTTGATATGAAGTGATTCCCTTTTCCTTTTTCATAGAATTTAAATTCGATTTATAAAAAGACCTTTAATTTATTTAAAAATACTAAATTACTCGTTAATAAAGATCTTTTATTACCATTTGTACAAATTAATTAAATTCTAGCATTTCGATAATTAAATTGTTCCTTGATTATTGCTAATTTTGCAATCCACAGTCCTGTTGTTTTTTCTATATAATTTCGATTTTATAATTATATTGAAAAAATTATAATCGCTACATTAACAAAATTCCAAATCTGCTTGATTCCTTTTGCAACTTAATAAAAGGATCACTTAGTACATGTGCATTCTTTTGCAAACTTTCCACGGATCTATTTGACATTTACTTTTTCTACTAATGTACTTTCGTATAATTGCAAAACTCTCGGGTTTCAACGGGGTCACTGGCAAAGCTCGACAATAAAATCCCTTCGAAAGACAAACCTATATTAAAGTTTTATTAGCAAATACAGTTATGGTTTCGACTTATGTCATTTGTTAAAATGAGTTTTGCCAAGCAACTATATATACATTACAAAAAGCAAAATATTGATCTATGTATAGATAAGTTGAGTTTTCATAGAATTTAACGAGGACAAACGTGAAGCAATGAAATATTTTGTAGAATTTTATAATTTACGCTTGGCCACAACAACTGTTTGATTTCTTGTTACTAGATTTGTAGGTTACTTATCCTTATTGGCTCACCTATTAAATATTAAGTTACGATGCCCATTGCTCCTATTTCTATTCTCACGTTTAAGCTTTCCTCATTTAAGCCTTTGAGAATCTATATTAAGTACTTATCAAATAATGTTGAACTTGAATTTTGTGAACTATGAGTAAAAGCATTGATTAATGGTAATTGTGTTTTATTTGCAGTGCTCCATTAATAATAATTAAGAATTATACCTTTTAATATTTATTCAATGTTACTTTAATATATTTCTAAGAAATTACGCTACATTTCCACTACCTAAATCAATTGAGAGATCGAATGACGTGTATTAGAATATCCTTTTATTTGTGTTTAATTTTTAAAAAAAAGCGAAATCTTTTTTTTTATCTCGAGAGTTTATTCCTGGTCAACTTCTCGGATATCTCTTGGTTAAAGTTTCTTTTGGAGAAGTA